TCCTTCTTTTCATTTTAATTTTGAAGCCTTTCTTTTATTTGAGACAGGGTCTCATGTAGCCTAGCCTGGCCTTGAACTTGGCATGTAGCTAAGGCTGTCCTTGAACTCCTGATCCTTCTGCCTCTACCTCCCTAGTGCTGGGATTAGAGGTGTGACCCACTATGCTGGGTTCATGTGGTGCTGGAGATCAAACCCAAGCCTTTGTGCATGTGCATGCTAGGCAAGTACTCTACCAACTGAACTACATCCCCAGCAATTTGAAGCCTTTTGTGACTTTCCTTCCCTATCTGTGTGTTAAGAAGGGAATGGGAGGAGAAAGAGGGGCTTAAAAAAGGCCCCTTCAGAGGGTGTGTGTGTCTGGACAATGTGTGTGTGGGGACAGTGTCTGGTTATTTTGGCTGTAGCTTACGTTGCCTTGCATCCCCCCACAGGGGGGGCTGGAATTTACTGTGTAGACAGGGCTGGCCTGGAACTCACAGAGATCCTGCTGCTTCTGCCTCAACTGGTTCAAGAGACAAATGGGTAATGAAGAGACACATGGGTGGTTTAGGAGGGAGACTAAGCCACCTTCTCACTCTGTTACTGTGTGCCGTGTAGTGTGTTTGACTGGTCAACCCAATGGAGGAGGTAAGAATGAATGAAGAGGCTGTTAGGTGGATCACGTCCACCCTCTCCCACCCCATGAAAACTGGTGAAGCCCCTGGTCAACCCAGGCTTCCTCAGGTCCCCACATGCCACTCTGAAGCATGTGGCCTCTGAAACCTTTCTGAATGTTTCTCAAACTTGTGCCTCCAGTGGACCAGCCATTGCAGCTGTGTTGAACCAGCTAGACGAGGGTTCTGCTCTAGTACAACCTGCCTTCTGCCACGAAGGAGTGAAGATGAACTGTGGCTCTCTTCAAGGTGAACTGTCTTCTGGGTAGAAGCGCACTTCCAAAGCCCCACAGGAGACAGAGGAGACACACAGACTTGGCCATGGGCCTGTGATCAGGGGTCAGGGAGGTGATGCATCTGTAAGCTGAGTCTATACAATATATACACTGATTTAAGTTGGAATTTGTGTGTCTGTAATGACTGGCAGATGGAAGTTGGTTAAGGTCAGATGGAAGATAGTTAAGGTTGGATGGTGTCGGGGCTCAAAGGGGCTTGAGCGATAGCTCCATGGGTGGGAGCACTTGATGCTCTTGTAGCAGACCAGGGTTTGGTTCCCAGTACCTGTCAGGTAGCTCACAACCATCTGTAACTCCAGCGTCAGGGGATCCAATACACTTTTCTGGCTTCCATGGGCACCTGTACACATGTGGCACAGACACAGACAGACAGGCAGATGACAGACACAGACACACAGACACAGACAGACAGACACACATACAGACAGACACACACACACAAAATCAGATGATGGAAGTGGAGGTTGCTTCATAGGACTCCAGCAACACAGAAAACTGTACCTGTGAGAGTCTGATAGGATTTCTGTGAGAACAATTTATTGTCCAAACTGGACAATAAATATGGAGGGTGGGGTGTCTCAGAACACAGAGCCAAGCCATAGTAGGGGTTCAGTTAACAGCCCTCTCTATGCCATATACACCAGGAGCTTGCTGCCATCATGTACTTTTCCTGAAGCATCTCTTGTAACCTCACCTCTCTTCACTCCTTGAAGACTTGCTAGTGTCCCCAAGGCTTGTGTATTGGAAGCTTAATTCCTAACGCCACAATGTTGGGGGGTGGGGTCTAAGGTGTTCAAGGCCTGATGGTCTCCTGTGTGAGTGGATTAGTGCCAGTTCTAAGGAGGTGGCCCTCTGCCCTCAGACTGTCATCAGATGAAGCCCCTAAATCTTCAGCTTCCTGGTTCTAGAACTATAAGAAATGACCTGTGTGAGATGGCTCAGTTGGTTAAGTATTTGCTGTACAAACATGAGAACCCAACTTTGATCCCTCAGGACCCATGTCAAAAAAGCCAGGCGTGGGCGGCAAGCACTTGTAATCCCAGCACTGGAGAAGGGAAGTGGAGACAAGGTAGATCCCTGGAGCTTGTTGGCTGGCCACCATAGCCTACTTGGTAAGCCCAGGCAATGAGAGATCCCATCTTACAAAAGAAGCTGGAGAGTGACTGAGGAATGACACTCAAGATTGACCTCTGGCCTCCACACACATGCTTTGTACACACACACACACACACACACACACACACACACACGGGTGGAGAGGAGGGAGGAAGGGAGGGAAAGAGGGAGAGAGAGAGATTAACCTGTGTCCTTAAATTTCCAGTCTCAGGGAATTCTTTTATATTATTATTCTTTTATAATAGCAAAACCCAAAATGTATTAAGACAGGCCTATTAACTGAGCAGGCATCCAGTTCCCACCATAGCTGCATCAGAGCATGCCCTCTCTCTGATGGAATCTTTGGATGGTATCATCTCTGATGCTCCCCAGGAACCATGTAAGCTGCCCTGTTTTCCTTCATAGACCTTGTCTTCTACCCCAGGGCTCTCCTGCTCGACCTGGCTGAGTCTCTTTAGAAGCTGTCTGAGCACACTGAAGGGAACCGTGCCTTGGGGCCTGGACACTGGCTGCTCTCTCTGCTTGGAAACCTTACCCCAGATTCCCCAAAGCGCCTTCTTGTCACCTTCTTCAAGTCTCTGGGAGAAGTTACACTGAGCTACATTTCCAGCCCCTTTACCTTTTAGGACAGGGCTTAAGTTGCTGACCTTGAACTCACTCTAGCCCAGACAGGCTCTGAACTAGAGATTCCCCTGCCTCAGCTTCCCAAGCCTGTGCCACCAGGCTCAGCTTAGAAGTTAACCTTTTTTTTTTTTTTTTTTTTTTTTGTCTTTTTGAGACAGGGTCTCCCTGTAGCCCCAGCTGTCATGGAACTCACTATGTAGACCAGGCTGTCCTCGAACTTCCAATGATCCTCCTGCCTCTGCCTCCCAAGTGCTAGGATTAAAGGCGTGCACCACCACGCCCAGCAGAAGTTAATCTTTTTAACCTGTTATTAAAAAATGATTTTTTTGGAAAGGGTTTTTTTTTGGGGGGGATCTTACTGAGACAGGGTCTTCCTGTAGCTCCAGGTGGCCTCGAACTCACTTTGTAGACCAGGCTGGCCTCTGCCTCTGCCTCCCAAGTGCTAGGACTAAAGTCATGGCACCACCACACCTGGCAATTTTGTTTTTTATTTATGTGTATATGTCTGTGAATATATGCCAGGTGTGTGCATGTGCTGGAGATGGCCAGAAGAAGGCGTCAGATTCCTTGGAGCTGTGTTATAGGCAGGTGTGAACCATCTGATGTGGATGCTGGGAACTGAACTCAGGGCCTCTGGAAGAGCAGCAAGTGCTCTTAACTGTTGAACCATCTCTTCAGGCCAAACCTGTCATCTTTATAAAAATGGACCACCCCTGCTTCCAGTTTTCTAACTCTACCTGGTTTTCTCTTCATAGCATTCAATACTTTATACACAAACATACATACACACACACACAATTTTTTTTAAGACGGTCTCATGTAGCTCTGTTTGGTCTTGAACTCACTATGCTGCTGAGGATGACCTTGAACTTCTGACTCTCCTCCTGCCTCTACCTCCCACAAGTGCTGGAATTACAGTCATACACCATCAGGCCTGGATGTTGTTTTTCGGACAGCAGCTTGCATTTTTTTTTTGGTCTTTTTGAGACAAGGTCTCCGTAGCCTGAGCTGGCCTGGAACTCGCTATGTAGACCAGGCTGGCCTTGAACTCACAGAGATCCATCCGCCTCTGCCTCCCAAGTACTGGGACTAAAGGCAAGTGCCACCACGCCCGGCAGCATCTTGCTTAAAAGTGGCCAGGCTGATGTTGAACTCATAATTCTTCTGCCTTAGCTTGAACTGGCTCAGCAAACTTCCCTAAGTTACTCCATTTTGTTCAGAGCCATTTCAGCAACAACTTTGCTCCACACCAAAAGGAAAAGGGGGGCAACCTTGGGCCTTGGAAAATTGCCCTCGCCATGAATCATGGAATGTGCTAATTCCAGATATTATATTTTTACTAACCAGCTTGTTTTTACTTCTGTAAACTGCTTGCTGTCTTGGGTCGCCCTGACACAGGGCACAAGACCACCCTTGTTATCTTGTTATTGTATGACCACCTAGAAGTTACTTACCTTGACTGTCTTATTTTACTTGTTATGGCTAAAGCAGTTGGCTAGTTTTATTGTCACAAAGTTGAGTGCCAAGTTATATGACTGTATTACTTGTCTGTATAATGATTCTGCTATGTTGTACAAACCTGATTGGTTCACAAATGTCCTGTTTTAATAATAATTCTGTAATCCTATAAAAACTCTGACTTAACAATCACCAGGGCTGCTTCTACTCCAGAGATAGACAGCCCGGCCGGCGAAAATTAAAATTTACCTTGCTACTTTTCTTAAAGTGGTGTTGGTGATTTTTTACAAACTCTGTCCTATAACAAGCTTTCAAAGTTGTTGACTTTCAGACTTTCCCCAGTATGCTGTGCTTAATGCTTTTATTTTTGGTTTTAAGGATGGACCAGGGGCCTCACCCATTCCCTGCCTTTTTAAAATACTATATATCCCAGGTATCACAGCGGAATACTTTGTTATGCTACCACCTTGGGTAGTGAAACACGCTTCCGTTCTGTGCGTGCACACGGAACACTTGTTAGACGTTTCCCCTCTGCACACCTGTCGCCGTGTGTTTTTGCCTGAGGCATCTCCGCAGCTCAGTGATCATAGGAGTGAATCAATCCTGAGTGAATGAATGAATAAATGAATGAATGACGCAGGACAGCCGTCAACATCCAATAAGGGGAGGTAAAGTGAGACCCACTCTGCCGCAGGGGAGAGCGAACAGAAGTTAGTCCGCCTGCGCAAGTGAGCACGCCTTTTCAGACGGCTCAGCGGAGGGTTACACCGCGGAAGGCTACATAGAGGGCGTGGCCTTTTTTAAGGGGACGTGCCTTGCCGGAGCCAGGGGCGGGGCTTGCGCGGGGCGTGGCCAGACTGGTGTCCGGTGGGCTGCAGTGCGCCCGCTTAGTCTAGTGTTGTAGTTCGGCTGCGCAGCTCCTTCTCTGAGGTGCGCTCTCTGTGATCTCGGGCCTCACCGTCCCCAGTCACGCCTTCCGCAGCCCCGCAGCCCCGCCACAGCCATGTCCAAGCAGGCGCGGCCCGGGCTCGAGGAGATCATTGAGTGCCAGGTGATGTGGGAGCCTGACAGCAAGAAGAACACGCAGATGGACCGCTTCCGGGCGGCCGTGGGCGCCGCTTGGGGCCTGGCGCTGGGTAAGTGGGGGCCCGCGGCGCGGACGGCCCCCCTCCCCCGGGGGCCTTCCCGGAAGCGGGGTTCCCCACCTAGGGTGGCCGCTTTCCCTCCTAGTTGTTGGGATGGACCCTGATGGATGGATGGTCAGTCTCCCTGTCCTAGGTTGGGGGAACCCCCTGGTTCCCGGTCCCCTATTATGGCGCCTCCTAGTTGTCGGGATGAGCCCCTGATGGGTGACCAGTCTCCCCGTCCTTGGGTTGGGGGAGCCCCCTGGCTCAGGGGCCTTTTTCTAGGGGGTGTCTTCTGATGGTGAGTCCTTTTGGGAGCATCACCTTTATGTTTTAAGAGGCCCTCTTCCGGGCTACAACAGCTCCACACAGGTGGGGCCCACCGTCTTTCAGAGACACTTGCCCTCTGGAGGAGGCAGTACCTTCTGGTTCCTGGGTTCTTGGGCTAGGCGTGACTCCTTGGGAAGGGGCTCTTCGGGTCTTGGGCTTCTGTCTGTGGGGGTTTCCCTCTGGTTTGACTTGGAGTTCTTTCTGAGTCAGTGGGATTCATGTGATAGGCTCCCCCATCTGCCTTTGCTTGGGCCCAGCTTGGGATTTCAGGACCCTGAAAAGATGATGAGGTTTGGATTTCTTGCCCAGTATCCCTTTAGAATTAAGGTAGAGCCCTTTTTCATGTTTAAATTCCCATCCCCAAACACATGCCTCTTCCTGAACCCACCCTGGCCTGTGTGGGTGTGGGTGTGGCAAAGGCCTGTCCTGGGTGAGTCTCTTTCCACATGCCCTTCCCAGAGCTCTGTCGGGCTTGGCTGGTCCTTCTACCTGCTCTGCCCCTTCCTTCGGGTGAACTCATAGTGTTTTTTTTCTCCATTTTCAGTCCCTCTTGCCCCATCAACTACAGAGACCCCCTTGTTTCTGCTGGTGACATCGCTGTCAGTGTCATGAAGTGGCAAGGGGGTCCTTTGTCTTGCTCCCAGGGCATGGCCTTCCTGTATCCCCCTGCCCTTGAGCTCTGGGTCCTCTTTACCTCCTCTCTGAATAGCACTTGACTTTCCTCTTTCCTTACATCCTGCTTTGCTGGCCAGAGGAATCGTGAAGTCAAGGTCTCTTGAAACTCTGGGTTCCTGACCTCTCCACAGTTCCTTGTTGACTATGAACTGCATATAGCCACTGGACTGCTTTCAGGCCCCCCAGAACCCCCATAGCCCTGGCTGTAGCTCTTCCCTCCTTCCTCTCACCTGAAGACCAGTGGTTTACCTTGTTACTTTCAGGGCTTCAGACCGTGGCTGGTCAGGTTGTGGGTGTTGGATTGAAGAGCCTTAACCTGGCACAGAGCTTCGATCAATGTCATATCACATCCTTTTCCTGTCTCCCTCAATTCCCAGCCTGGACTCCATCTGTCTCTGCCAGCAGTAATGTAGCATTGGCCCTCACTTAGGAACATCATTCCTTAGAAGGCTACTGGTAGACCAGAGTCTCTGCTCCATTGCAAAGCCTGGAAAGGGAGCTGTAACCTGATACCCTACAGGGGCCAGGCTGTATCTGGAGCAAGTCTATGGACACCCTAAGCCTAGGTTTCCTCGACTTTAAAATGAGCGAAATGAGAGGACCTGCACCTCTTGGTGGGTGGTGGAGTGTTCCCTGATGGAGGGTGCCTGTGAGATGGCAGGCCCAGTGCTGAGTATTGACCGATGCATGTTGCCACTGGTCAGAAGTTTGCTAGCCTTAGTGTCCTCTTTTCTTCAAGGCTCTGACTGATGGTGGCTAGTGGCCAGGGTTGACCTGCAGAAGCCCTGTTGACTGTCTGGTGTTTAAAAGGTAGAAGCTTTACCAGGTGTGGTGGCTCATGTCTATAATTCTGACTTTCAGTAGCTGAGGCAGGAAGATTGCTTTGAGTTCAAGGTCAGTCTGGGCTACAGAATGAGACCCTGTCACAAAAACAGTGGCTGTCATCTGTGTTGTAGTCCCATGAAGCAGTGCTGGGTGGCAGCTATGTGGCCCCTCCCTTTTCCCTTTCCCCATCCTCTCTTTTCATCTGCCTGGCACCAAGGTTTGTGCTCTGCTTTCATGTCTAACTCACATGCCATGTTTCCTTTGACTACTGTGTCCTCTCTTCCCTTCTCCATGTGACTTTTTCGTGGAGCTTTGGTCCTGCCTTGCTGGTTCATGTATGTGTGAGCTGCCCTCCTTAGTAGCTGTTATACTGTATCAAGCAGCACTGTTTAGCAGATGTGGCAGAGAGCAAGACCCTGGTGAAGGTACATTCTCCCTTTCCACTGCCAGAGCCACCTGTCACAGCTTCCCAAGGATCCTGTGAGCTCACATGGTGCCCCCGGGTCCTGTGATGCTGGCTGCCTCAGAGGTATATACGCCTGTGATGCCAATGTGCTCTGCAAGGCCCGGGGGACATGTTTCATGGCCTTGCCCTCTGTAATTAAAGGGCAGCATTGTAGCATAAGTAGTAAAATGGCATGCTCTTTTTTTAAAGTTGGTGTTTTATATAACCCAGAATGGCTTTGAGTCCTGATCCTCCTGCCTCCTCTTCTTGAGTGCTGGGATTACAGGCATACACCTTCACACCCCACCAGGATTGCATTTAGAACTAAATTTTTAAGTGCTAGCTGGTGGTTCAGGCTCTTTGTGAGTGTTAAACAGAACCAAACATATCTCTATTACTTGGGCTACAGATCTTGTGCCCCTGATGGAAGCCCAGCTTGTCCACAGTATTGTGTCCTATGATGTGGCCAAGGAAATTTTCCATACAAGGTCTTTGAGGTGCGAAGATGCCATTGTGACCACTGGTTTCCCAGGTTTGTGGGGCTGCCCATGCCCCTCTTCAGCCATGCTGTTGGTGGGTGTGCTTTGTTTTGTGCGTTAAAAATCTTTTTTAGGGGGCTGGAGAGATGGCTTAGTGGTTAAGAGCATTGACTGCTCTTACAGAGGACCTGGCCTCGATTCCCAGCACCCACATGACAGCTACGAACCATCCTTAACTCCAGTTCCAGGGGAATCTGACGCCCTCTTCTGACCTCCATGGCATTGCACGACACAGGTGCGCTCACATATATGCAGGCAATACACTCATACACATAAAATAAAAATAATAAATAAAATTAAAAAAAAATCTTTTTTGTAGTCCTAGGAATTGAACTCAGGGTCTTGCACTCTACCACTTAGCCACACTCCAACCCTCTTTCTATTTTATATTTTCAGACAAAGTCTTACAAAATTGTTCAGGCAGGCCCTGATCTTTGGGTCCTCCTGTCTCAGCCTCTTGAGTAGCTGTGTTTCTGACCTGTACCACCAGGCCTGGCCTAGATGTCCTTTTGTGACAGAATTGGACTTGGAGCCCCTAACCCATCTCATAGCAGCTTGGGACAGTTTTTGCAGCTGCAGCAAATGTTGCTATTTGCAAAGACTTAAGTGACTAAGAGTGTGGGAGGGAGAGGAACTGAGGGGCCTGTTTGTCAAGTTGTCAAGTGTTGTTTTCCACAGGTGTATGGTGGCTGCCTAACCCCTTGAGCACTGCCCTCTGCTGGCCTGAGGAGCTGCCACACTCTTGAGTATTAACTCTCACTTGTGCTCAACAGTGTGCCTCTAAGGATGGGCTTAGTATATGCCATTGGGGTGCCATGTGTGAGCTCCCTGCAAATGGAGGGGTGATGCCAACAGCTGATGCTTTTGGGCACCTTCGCTCTGCAGGACAATGACCTGGCCACTTATCTGGTCTTCATATTAGCTTCCTCTTGGAGGAAGAAACTGAGGCAAAGAGGAGGTAAATAATATGTTTGGGGACATTCAGAGTGGCAAGATTTGAATGCAGGCAATTGAACCTGTGCTCTTTTTTTTTTTTTTTTTTTTTTCAGTCTTTTTGAGACAGGGTCTCCCTGTAGCCCCAGCTGTCGTGGAACTCACTGTGTACACCAGGCTAGCCTAGAACTCACAGAGATCTGCCTGCCTCTGCCTCCCAAGTGCTGGAATTAAAGGCATGTGCCACCACACCTGGCAAACCTGTGCTCTTAAACAGTGTCCTGGTGGTCCTCACAACAGCCTCTTTTTTTTTTTTTTGATTTATTTATTTTTATTTTATGTGCATAAGTTTTGTATGCATGTTAAGTGTACCTGTGTGTACAATACCTGTAGAGGTCAGAAGAGGGCATCAGATCCCCTGGAACTGTAGTTACAGACTCAGCCTCAATGTGGGTGCTAGTAACTGAACTTAGGTCCTCTGTAAGAGCAGCCAGTGCTCTTAACCACTGAGCCATCTCTCCAGCCCCCTCATAACAGCCTTTTAAAGGGACCACATCAGGGTTCCCATTTACAGCTTAGAGTGTGGAGGCTCTGAAGTAGAGGAGCTTGCCTCAGGGTATTCTCTCAGAAGTGGTAGATGGGTGCTAATGAATAGCATCCAGCCTGACCCTGGAGCTAGAATGAAACTCTGCCACTAGTGTGGAAGGATCCACCATGCCTCCTGTTAACACTTTGAGGACCCATGAGTGAAACTTGGCCTGTCTGAGGTCCCCATGCAAGATCCCTAGAGTTGGGACTGGCCCCGGCTTTCCAAACTTCCTGGCCCTGCTGTTTCCCTGCATCCTTTTACCTTGTATATAGTCTGTCTGGGTCCTGGAGGAGGTCAGGCCTTGTTGGGATTACCTGGGTTTCCTTCTCTAAGCCTGGAGCCCTAAAGCCTCATGGGCTGTCCTAGCTGTGGCTTTTCCACCCAGCTTGGCTTTCCCATCAGGCTGTGCGCCCCCAGCCCCCCATGAGCTGGCTGTCTCTGCATCTCTGGGCACTTTCTGCTTTACATGCCCCCTCCAGTTCTGCCTGCCACACTCTCCCTCCTGCTCCCAGCTGTGTGTTTCTGCAGAGGACACAATCTCTGAAGCATTGACTTCATGTGCCTGTGTTGGCATTTAGCATCTCAGGTAGTTTTTTCCACTTTCTTCCATATACTTGGTTTACTTTTGACCCATTTAGAAAGTAAGCTCAGCATAGACATGACTTATTTCAGACCAGAACCCCATGTACTTGCTGTGGCAGGAGTCTGCAGGAGTGAGTTCTAGGTTTCAGTGATATCTTGCTGAGCAGACTTGGGTTCTTCCAAGCTTATGGGGACTGAGCTGCATGTGGGATATTGTAAAAGATGTCCTCAGTGAAACCAGCAAATTTCAGAGGAGTGGTTAAATCAGGCTCATTTCTGTTAAGACATCTCCCCCAGCAGCGCTCACCTGCCTCAGCCTGTGACTAAGGTATCTTGCTATTTATCTTTTTCCCCTGTGGTTCTGGGATTGAACCCAAGATTGGGGCCTAGTATATACTAGGCAAGCAGCTTTATCACTGAACTACACTCCCACCCCCCATGTGAGAGACTAGGGTCCCAGTAAGTTGCTCAGACTGGCCTTGAACACACTCTAGCCCAGGCTGACTTTGAACTTGTGGTCTCCCTCAGCCTCCCTAGTACCTAGAATTCTAGGCATATGCCACCAGGCCAAGCTCATGATTGTATGTTCTGGTAAGAACAGGCTGAGATGGGACTGGAAAGCACTTACTGCTTTCCTAGAGGACCAGAGTTTGATTTGCAGCACCAACATCAGATGGCTGAGGCTGAAAAGGCCAAAGAGGGAGGAGGTAGGAGACCTTCCCAGATGGGCCTAGTGTGGCTGCTCTGCTGGGAGTATCAAAGGTAAGAGCAGGGTGCATTCATTAAGGTGCAGACTTGAACCGAGCAAAGGAAAGAGTCATTCTAATGCTCTTAAAGGTCTATGAGCAGGCTACCAGTCTTGACCTTCTGAGTTTTCTATTCTGCTGAACACAGATAACAGTTTAGGGGTTTAACAGCAAACTCCTGCTATTGCTCTGATGTGCCCAAGGCCCTGTTTGAGCACTAGATACATGTGCCTCTTTATATCCTCAGAATGGCACTATTTGGAGGTGGCTTTACTCATCCCATTTCACTGGTGGGGAAGCGGAGACAGTTCAATAACTTGCATGATACACAGCAAATCCATGGCCGAGCTGAGATTTGAACCCCAACCCCTGCTACAGTCTTATATTTTTAGGCATAGACTAAGATATTAAGTTGTGGGCTGAGTTTGCCGATCTGAGTTCAGTCCTTGGAACCCATATAATGGAAGGAGAGAACTGGATCCTGCAAGTTAACTTCTGACCTCCACATATATGCTGTGGCATGTTCATGCCCCCCATTCAGTCAGCCAGTAAATAAGATACTAAGCTAGGAGATTGGGGCAATAGCTCAGTAGAGAAAGTGTTTCCTCTGTAAGCATGAGGAAATCCACCTAAGAATAACTTGGTGTGGTGATACGTGCCTGTAACCCAGTGCTAGGAAGATGTAGACAGGAAGATCCCTGGGTCTCACTCGTTAGCCAGCCTGGTCAAAGAATAACATCCCTTCTGTGCTTCCTAGAGACTGGTGGTAGAAGTTTGCTCCTCCCAGACACTCAGGGTGGCAGAATCACTTACAGCCTGCAGTTCTTAGGGCCCTGGCTTGGGCTGCACTTCTGAACTGTGATGAGCCAGTGCTGTTTTGTTTGATTCTTAGAGAATTACGACGACTTGTACCATTGGTCAGTGCAGTCATATTCAGACTTTTGGGCCGAGTTCTGGAAATTCAGCGGAATTGTCTACTCTCGAATGTATGATGAGGTAAGTGGATTTTTGGCCACACATCTGGCCACTCACCATCTCCTTTCCTGGCTGTGTTTCTCTTTCATGACTGTTTCCCTCTGTAGCTGTGTTTCTGAGCGAAATGTTCATTTGGAGATTCGTGCCTTTTCAAAGTTCATGTGGAAGGAAAGTCACCATCTTGTAGAACTGGTATGAAGTTGGCTGGTCCCACGGGAGGGGGTTCTGTGGAGATACTGGCCCTGTTGTGGGGCTTGCACAATCCTAGGAAGTGAGGCACCTGGGCCTTCTCTCTTCTGTTCTTTCTCAGAGTCTTGCTGATGTGGCTCAAGCTGGTCTTGAATTTGTAGGCTCAAGCCATGTTCCTGTCCTGCCTTAGCCTCCTAAGTAGCTTCTTCCCCTCTTTCTTCTTTCCCCTCCCCCTTTTTTTTTTTTTTCCTTGAGACAGTGTTTCCCTACAGCCCCAGCTGACCTGGCACTCACTATGAAAACCAGGCTGGCTTCAAACAAAGAGATCTGCCTGCCTCTGCCTCCCAAGTGCTGGCATTAAAGATGCATGTGCCACAATGCCCAGTCCCCACAGCTGGCCTGGAACTTATGTAGACCAGGCTGGCCTTGAATTCACAGAGATCTGCCTGCCTCTGCATCCTGAGTGCTGGGATTAAAGGTGTGTGTCACCATGTCCAGCCCATTTCCTTTTTTAATTACAATATTTTTTAGGGTCTTGTGAGAAGGCTCAGCAGGTAAAGGTGCTTACTTCCAAACCCGACAACCTGAGTTTGATCCCCAGGACCCACATGGTAGAAGGAGAGCACCAATTCCTCCAAGTTGTCTTGTGATCTTTACACATATGCTGTGGGACATGCTTGCCCACACATGTACACACATTAAAAAAAAAAAAAAAATCCCATAAATTAAAAAAAAAAAAAAAAAGCTCATTTTTTTTAGTTCAACTTTTTTTTTGTCCTGAGACAGGGTCTCACCAACCCTGAAGTCACAGAGATCCATCTGCCTCTGCCTTCCCCCCAAATTATTTTTTAATCGCACACAGGAGGCTGAGGCAGGAGGACTGCAAGTTTGGGGCCAGCCCAGGCTATATGGTGGACCCCATCTCAAATAACTTACAAACTATACCCCTATCCCCACATTGCATGTGGCGAGAGGTGCTACTTTTGCAGGTCTGAAATGTCAAGAACACTCATACTGTTGTAGTTATTTAAACTTTCAGTATGCTCACTGTTTTTCTAACCTGGACTTTAGAGAGCTTTCAGCTCCTTTCATAGAAAAATCAACGAATATCCCAGGAAAGAGAGTCCTGTTATTTGAAATATAATCCACTGTCTGTTTGGGGGAAATCCCTCTGTAAGGCTGATGTGTTGATACTTAGAGAAGGAAATCAAGGTCTCAGCATCAGGGGAAGAAGACAAAGAGTCACTTTTCCTGAAAATTGTGGTGGGGGCCAGGGCCCCAGGCTTGTCCCCTGTTTTTGGTATGTCTGAGTGAGCTTAGCACGGGGGTCAGAGGTCTTTACTGATTTTTGTTGGTGCTGGGGATGAACTCAACTCAAGGGTCTCTGGGATGCTGGCTCTGCTGCTGAGCCACATCCAGTTCCATTTCTTTTCTTTTTTTTTTTGGAGATAGGGTATGCTGCAGCCCAGGTTAGCCTTCAACTCCATATCCTCCTGCCTCCCTCACCAGCTCTGGGATAACAAGCTTGTGCCCCCATACCCAGCCTGGGCATTTTCTTTACTTCCTTGTTCATAACTGTCCTAAAATAGCTTGGTAAACTGTTGCAAGATTTCTGGAGGTGACTTCCCTGGGTGCACTGCTGCACCACCGTCTAGGTCTGGCCAGGTTAAGATCAGCGTGTGGGTGATGTCATAAGGCTCTGGGCTGAGCCTGTGGCTTCCCTTTGGCCTTGTGCAGGGCCCTCCTGTGAGTACTGTGCTCTGCTGTCCCTTTGCAGGTTGTGGACACATCCAAAGGGATCACAGATGTCCCCGAATGGTTTCGAGGCAGCCGGCTCAACTATGCCGAGAACCTCCTGCGTCACAAGGAGAATGACAGAGTTGCCCTTTATGTGGCCCGTGAGTCCTGCTGGCCTCCTGCTCCCCAGGGTGTCCTGGGAGTGCATGTGTGTGGCCCTGTGGGTTATGTGTTTGAAGGGGCTGCAGGGAAGGTTCCAGTTGGGTCTTGGTGTCCTCTGGACATAATAGACACCTCTGCTGGGAAGGGAGAGGCCAGTCAGAAATGAAGACCACCATTGCTTAGTTTTGTCATTCTTGTGCATGCATACGTGTATATTCATGTGTCTGCAAATGTGTGTGGTGTGCATGTGGAGGCCAGGGGCTGGCTCAGTTCTCATGCACAACAACAGCCCCCACCCCACCCCAGTAATCACACCTTCTTCCTGGCAGTAAGTTGCTTCAGGACTATAGGGAGTGGTTTAGGTTTAGCTAAATGGATGGAGCTTCCTGGAGCCCTTAGTTCTCATGACTCAAGATTCTGTTTTGTTTTGTTTTTAAAGATTTACTTAAGCCTGGGCAAGGTGGTGCATGCCGTTAATCCCAGCACTCAGGAGGCAGAGGCAGGCAGATCTCTGAGTTTAAGGCCAGCCTCTGGTCTACATAGTGAGTTCTAGGACAGCTGGGGCTACAAGGAGACCTTCTCTCTCTCTCTCAAAAAAAAAAGATATACTTATTTTTATTTTTATTTTGTGTCTATGAGTGTTTTGCCTGCATGTATGTAAGTGCACCACATGCATGCAGTGTATGTGGAGGTCAGAAGAGGACATTGGATTCCCTGGAACTGGAGTTACAGATAGTTATTAGCCATCATGTGACTGCTTGGAACCAAACCCAGGTCCTCTGCAAGAGCAGCAAGTGCTCTTAACCCCTGAGCTATCTCTTCAGCCTTGAGGTTCTTTTCTTTGAACAGTACCAACATCTACTAGTAGTACGAGTTGTTGAGGTGTGTTGGGTTCTCAGCCTGAAAGCTTCTGAAAAGGACCGAGTGTGCTGTGCTTTCTGCTGTCATGTGCCCAGTTTCTGTAGTGTGTCTGTCTCTGTCAGGCAATGGCCAGTCTCCTGGTCTCTCTAGCATCTCTAGTCTTTAAAAAAAAATATTTTATTTATTATTTAATTTTTTATGTGTATGCATGTATTGCATGCACATAGGTAAGTGCACCCATGTGTATTTTTATTTTTTTTATATGTATGCATGTATTGCCTGCATATAGGTAAGTGCACCCATGTCGTGCAATGCCCACGAAGGACAAAAGAGGCTGTCTGATTCTCCTGGAACTGGAGTTACGGATAGTTGTTAGCTGCCATGTGGGTGCTGAGATTCGAACCTGGGTCTTCTGTAAGAACACCCAGTGTTCTTAACCACGAGCCATCTCTTCAGCCCCCAGCATCCCTAGTCTTTAATAAATTTCCCTACTTAGTCAGAAGTGATATGGGGAGTCAGATTGCTGGGCTTGGCTTAGGAGTAAGCAAGCTCCAGTGAGGACTTAGAGATCAAGTCACACTCCTATGTGACTTCAGGTAAACTGATCAGTCTCTCTGGTGCTGTTTCTGTACCTGCCAATGGAATGGATGCTAGTACTACTTCAGGTTGTCATGGGGAGGAAGCAGACTGATTAGTGTGTGTGTGTCTTAGAATAATCCTCAGCACAGAGAAACACATGGGTTCCTCAGTCAAGATTCCGTGTTGGAAATCTGTGCAGCTCTCAAAATGGCAGCTGTCCTGTTTCCATAGTGGCTTCCTGGAGCATCTTTAGTAGACCCTGAGGAATCTCAAAGCCCTTGTCAACTTCTGACATGCTAGTCACTCAGCCTTCACATTGGGGTTAGGCTGCTCAGTGCTGTTGCTTCTTCCTCCCTGAGTTCTTAGCTGTGGTGCAATTTGGGCTGAGGTGTTGACTGGGACAACTGCTAGTATTCCCTCCAGCCCTTTAGGGTGCCATCAGCCTTATCATCACCCCTTTATACACCTGCTCCTTCCCTTGTCAACTTCTGACATGCTAGTCACTCAGCCTTCACATTGGGGTTAGGCTGCTCAGTGCTGTTGCTTCTTCCTCCCTGAGTTCTTAGCTGTGGTGCAATTTGGGCTGAGGTGTTGACTGGGACAACTGCTAGTATTCCCTCCAGCCCTTTAGGGTGCCATCAGCCTTATCATCACCCCTTTATACACCTGCTCCTTAGACCAGGTGCTGGGACTGTAGCCTTGAGCTGGACAGGCAAGCTCCCCACAATTATAACCCTGATGTATCAGGAAAGAAATCCATAAAAATGCATGTCTAAGAACATTCTAGGTGGCTCATAGTTCTAGGAAGAATAAGTAAAGAGGAGGGAGTTGATAGACAAGCTGAGCTGCTGTAATCAGGGTTGTGGAGGCAGGTGAGGGTCCTGCTCCTGCCCAAACTACTGGGCTACTTTCTCTCTGAACTCATATATTCTCTCTGCCCCTTGTCCCTAGAGTCACATGCTGTGTGTGGCCTTTGTGCCTGGCCTCTTGAACTCAGCATCAGCTTCTTAAGGTCTGTTGCATTGCTGCTTGTAGCTGTTTCCTTCTTGAAACCATGGCCTGGGTGCCTGAGTCTGCATATACATTGGAGACTTGGGAAGGCTGCTCTACCCCAGGTCCTTAACTTCCTTTCTGGACCCCTTTTAATGCATTGGCTTTACCCAGTGTGTCAGATGCTTCATGAGGACTCAGTTTGTCACTGGAAAGTGGAAATAGTCACCATGAATCTTAACAACCCCAAGCTTTGATGACACATGTGATGGGTAGGGAAACCAAGCTACTTACAACATCCTGTGGAGAGGACGTCTGGGTCGGGACTGAACCAGGTGTGTACCCCCAATCCCTTGTCCCACTATCCTCCTCTCATAGGAACACTGATTGGCTGAGCCCGGCTACTTCCCCTTCTATGTAAGCTCTGCCCATGTGGGTGGAGGAGGCTAGCCTGTCTCATGCTTCCCTGTGCT